TGCACATGTAGTAAGAAGCAGATAACCCTAAATGATTTTCAAAGCTCTGCACATCCCACTGGCAAGCCACCTTTGGGAAAAGCTGTTCTAGTAGAGGTCTATATGAAAGATAGGGAACTATGAAGAAGATATACAGTTACTTCTTGTTCCATAAATCACCACAATAAAATTTAGAGATTGGCAATATATGTGTGTCCTAAGAAGCTAAGAAACATTTTGTTTTCTTTACATTTTTTGGGTCTGAATCCATTGGAAGTAGCCATCATTTGACCATTTGGCTGTGCAAAATCATTAGCATGTGGAGAAAACAAACAGCTCACTCTGTTAGAGACTTGACTCTTGTCTTTTGTCTTGTTGCTTTTCCTTCACAGGCAGTAAGTTATTTGGGCACAGTTGGGTGCTTTTTTGAGCATGGAAAAATACATTGGCAAGAATGAGTATTCTTACTGGAAAGTGAGTATGTTTTGCTTGCATCTTGGCAATGATAAGGATGTAAAAGGAACATGTGACGCAGAAAGAGCTCATTAATAGTATGCATTAATTCCTTGAAATCCTGAAGCTATGTTTTAGAGGTCATGCCAATATATTCACCTTCACTGTGGCACAAGAATGTTCATTAACCACTCTATAACACAAATTATAGCACTAGTAAATTCTGTTAATGCCCCCTCTCTTATTTATGTGACTTAAACTTTCATTCCCCCACCTGAGACTCACAGGTGCCTCAAAAGTACTGTGGATATATTCACCGGCTGTATTTAGAGCTTGCATATTTAATGCATGAAATTGCCTATGTCCGGTCTCTTCTGTTTTATTAACAAGACAGAAAGGGAGACTAGTCAGAGTGCCTTCCTAGGAAAGGTGAGATCTGGGGACCAGCCTTTGTTAAGATAAATATTTAGTATGCAACAGTCACATTTAATAATTGTATATCATAATAATTTAGTCTTTAAAGGAGAGAGGGACTGTAAACGAGGTCTCCCATGTGACTTTTAGCATCCACACTTCAGGACCTACATGTCCCTTCTCTCTGACCCAGCTGTTTCCACAGCAGCAGATTAACAGCAGGGTAAATTTTGGACTAGCTCATCCCAAATTCCTGGCCACTTGAATTGAGCTATACTGACAAACTAAACAGGGCCAGGGAGTCAGTTTTCAAAAGACCTTTCCTGTGAGCAGTGTGGATGTAGCACCCCTGTCTTTGAAATGTAGCTGAGACCTAAGGAGCTGTACTATTAATTAGTAAAGCTGCAGGTGTGGCACCCTGGACTCACCCATGGAAAAAGGTGAGGTTCTGATCTTGCTTATTATCTTCTAGAAATCCTGCTACAACCCTCAAACCTTGGGTTAATCTTGTGACATCTTTTTGTCTTTCAGCTGTGTTTTGTGAACAGAGGCTGCATGATGTGCATATTCCTGTTGGGCTGCAAAGTCACGAGTCCCCACAGTAGGGTTCTGAGCTCTGAGGAGCCATATCCCTCCCTGCAACTTTTCTTGTTTCAGCCGGTTTTCTCATTTATACTGTTAGCTGCTAGGTAAGAGAAATCCTACTTGTAAGATACCAGATATACCCATGGTTTAGCTGTGAACTCTGGAAACCCAGCTCAGGGCTGAGGGCTCTCTCAGATACTAACATAAGCAGTGCCAGGCACTGCAGTGCTGAGCGCTGCCACATGCAAGTGCTCAGGTATACCAAGTGTAAGGGATTGCTGCGACGGCACCATATGAACATAATAAAATACAAAATATATGTATCTATGAAGGAGCTGCTTCTTGGGTTTCTTATTAAGAACCACCAACATATGTGGCACAACAGACTCCAGTCTGCTCTGGGGGTGTGATACCAACATACAATTTATTTCTACTTCACCTTGTATTTCATAATCTGCTGTATATCATTCTACATGATGTCATGATAACGCAAGACCTTCTCATTTTGGTAGGCAATCACCTTAAACCAGAACTTTAAAGAGAGCAGTTCTGGCCTATCAGCTAGGCAGATATACAGAGCACTGGTAGAAGAAAAAAGCCCTTACCTTATTTAAAACTGAGCCAAAAACTGTCTCAGAGATGTATGTTGAAAGTCTGACGGGTGTTTAAAGTTCTGAGTTCACTGATATAATGCTCATGTGGCTGGATGGAATCTCTTACATCTAATTATCTTAACATAATGTCACATTGCTCTAGTGCATAATCTTTTGCTATTAAAATAACTTCCTGATGTGAACTGCTTTTTTCTTTTATTTATTTTTTTTTAAATAATTATGCAGTTGCAGATGCTACTGGTATATTAAAACACCACAGGGCCACAAAAACCACTCATACAAGCAAATGTGATCTAAACACATATCAAGCATTCTCAAAACTGGTACAAAACAATCTGATGGTAGCTGGTGTCATTACATTTGCACCCTTCTGGACAATGAGACAGGTAATGCTATCTAACAGGCAGACTTTCTGTGTCATCAAGAGAAAAAGTTGACTTATTCTAATTAGCACTGCAGTACAAAGAAGGAAAGAAGAACCAGAAGCAGCATTTTAAAAGGAAACTGGCATTCTTCTGGTGTATGTTCAGCTCTGTGCAAACTCTGTCTTAAAATCCTGTTATAAAAGTTTCCTATTTATAGTGGTAAGTTAGGATTTAAAGTTTATTAATAATTATTATTTATGATCGTAATGTCAAATATTAAAGAAATGAGAGTGTTTCTGAACTCTTAATCGCTTTAGCCATTATATTGGGAAGTTTTTCTAATACATAATATTAATCAATGTTGTTTTCTAGTTGATGATTAACTCCTGAAATCAATTTGGAGCTAGCTTACTGCAAATTGGTTTTGAAAACAGATCAAAGAAGGATTTGAGAACAACTTGCTTCCATTTTCTGTCATGCTTGCCCAGTAATCTGAATAAAGAGGATTTCAGAAGATGAGGGTGATTTCAAGTGAATCATTGGTAAGATACTACACAATGTTCATGTCTAATAGAAAGAAATAAGTTGATCCTGCATCTCATTTGGAGTCCAAAGAGAAGATCTATTTTCATCATAGATTCTACAGGGAACAACAAGACAGAGACCGCATTTCACAGTAGGAAAGTGTGATGCATCTAATTAGTGGGATTTTTTTCTTCTTCTGAAAAGTGGGAGGTAAAAAAAAAGTAGTGTTAATTGTGATTAAAGATGAAGCAGGTACTAATGACATTGCACAAGCTGAGATGAGTAGGGTTTTTTCCAGACAAAAGTGTGTTTAGAATAATGCACTGGTTGCAATTATACAGATCATTTTCCTAATGCAGTGCTCTCACCGACACTGTAACTTCACTGTGTACTGACACAATTAATGAATGTACCTGCTGCACCCAGAAACCATCACTTTGATGCTGAGCCCCATGGATTTGGTTTGAAAACCTACCTCTGAGTAGCTTCAATAATCTTGAAAGAAAGCAGGGCTTCACACCCTGGTGTGCTTAAAAGGAGGCCAGCTATCAATCTAAACTTTGAGTCATGGGCTGTTGCAAGCAGGAGTGAGGTGGAGGGTGATAAACCTGTGTTTGCATTTTAGATGACACTTTTATATAAAACGAACAGCTATAAATAGTTTATGGAGCCTTAATTAATGTTACCAGCATGTTACAGACATAAATAGATAGGTACATGTACCCCAACAGAAGGCAGTGGGGATGAGCTATTATTTTAGACAGCCTGTTCACCTGCTTGACTTATTACAGCTGGCTCCAGCACTTTATTAAAATGTCTATTAATAATGTAGATAGATGTAAGCTAAATATATACACTCCAGCTAATTACAGCATTCCCTGCAGAGGTTTGGGTTTACGTTTGGATCACCTGATTGTGAGATGGGAGTAAAAGTCAGGTCACCTAACAGTGGTGCCAGGGCTGCTGCTGTCTGTAAAAGCAGAGGTCAAGTGTCTTGCTGGAGGTATGGGCTGCAAGAACCCAGTTCCATGAACACAAAAGTCTTTCAGTCCCCTTATCAGCAGCGAGGCTGTCGAGGAGCACTGGCTTCTGGCCTCTGCATTGGTGTAGTGTTTTAGCTAATAGAAAATCATGGGAAATTCATGGAGCTATGACTGGAGGGACTTCAGTCAGTCCTTGCACTATTACAGTACAGACTGTTCCTCTCTTTGACTGACCCAGGTGATCTGCAGGGTGGACAACAGGAGAGAGGGAGGATGCATTCACCCTGAAATAGTCTCTGGCTCCCTCCTCCTTTAGGTATGGATGTGAATTGCCCAAGGGTGAGGATGAAACTAAATCCAGTTCTTCTGGTGTATGCAAGAATACCTTCCCTCACAGACCATTTGTAAAAGGCAAGCGCTGCTCTTTTCCAAAAACAAAGTTTTACTCAGTTTTTATTTGCTTTGGGAGACATTTCAAGTCAAGGCTTACTGTCTTCATCTATGGCCACACCACCCTGAAAACGCCCAGTCTCATTCATAATGGAAGGAATAATATGTTATTTGATCTTTGGTTGGCAAACTTGGAAATCTGGGCTAAAGTTCTTATTTCATTGTACTTTATGGTAATGGCTTGTAATACAGTAGACTCATTGATCATGAAACTGATCTGGCTTGTGTTCCCAGTGTGGTCACCACCTCTATACTTTGGGAGGCATATAATGGCAATGTTTAGCAATTACATATCTTTTTTTCCCTCCCTGGGTGGTCAACCTGTGAAGGAGACATTCCCTTACGCTCCCAGCTCCCCCACCAGACCATTTACAGCATCATTTGAGAGTTCTGAAGGTTTTGAATGGCCTTTGGGAACCCTTGAGACCTGCCTGTTGATTGTGATGGGGATCACCACGCTGGAACGCATACAGAGTGTGCGTTATCTGCGACCATTCTGTCTGATCTCAAGAGTTAAGAACGGTTGGATTTGGGGCTTGTCTAGGGTTAAATAATGATATAGGGTGACCAAGAGACTTTCCCCAAGGCTGGACAGTCATGACTGGCAGGGTGTGTGGGACAGTCTGGTCAAGTATCTAGTCCACTTGGTCCCTCCAGTGCTTTGGAAGCATCGGAGATGGAAGGCAGCTGTATGGAGTCCCCAACAACAAGTTGCAGAAACTGATGAAGGAGAGGGAGAATCGAGTCATTTTGCCGAGGCGAAAGCTATCCAGCTGGCCTTGGACATTGCTGAATGAGAAAAGTGGCCAGTACTTTATCTCTATACTGACTCATGGATGGTGGCAAATGTCCTGTGGGGGTGGTTGAAGCAATGGAAGCAGAACAACTGGCAACGCAGAGGTAAACCCATCTGGGCTGCTGCACTGTGGAAAGATATTGCTGCCAGGGTGCAGAACCTGGTGGTGAAGGTACGTCATGTAGATGCCCATGTACCCAAGAGTTGGGCCACTGAGGAACACCAGAACAACCAACAAGTGGATAAAGCGGCTAAGATTGAAGTGGCTCAGATGGACCTAGATTGGCAACATAAGGGTGAATTATTTTTGACCCGGTGGGCCCATGACACTTCAGGCCATCAGGGCAGAGATGCAACATAGAGATGGGCTTAACGATGGATATTATTGCCCAGGTTATTTATGAGTGTGAAACATGCTGCAATTAAACAAGCCAAACGGTTAAAGCCTCTTTGGTATGGAGGACGATGGTTGAAGTATAAATATGGGGAGGCCTGGCAGATTGACTATATCACACTGCCACCAACCTGCCAAGGCAAGCGCCATGTGCTTACCATGGTGGAAGCAACCACCGGGTGGCTGGAAACATACGCTGTGCCCCATGCCACTGCCCGGAACACTATCCTGGGCCTTGAGAAACAGATTTTGTGGCGACACGGCACCCCAGAGAGAATTGAGTCAGACAATGGGACTCATTTCCGAAATAACCTTATAGATATTTGGGCCAAAGAGCATGGCATTGAGTGGGTATATCACATCCCCTACCATGCACCAGCCTCTGGGAAAATCGAACGGTACAATGGGCTGTTAAAAACTACACTGAGAGCAATGGGTGGGGGAACTTTCAAACATTGGGATACACATTTACCAAAGGCCACCTGATTGGTCAACACTAGAGGATCTGCCAACAGGGCTGGCCCAGCCCAGTCAGAACTTTTACATACTGTAGAAGGTGATAAAGTTCCTGTGGTGCACATAAAGAATTTTCTGGGGAAGACAGTCTGGGTTATTCCTGCTTCAGGTAAAGGCAAACCCACTCGTGGGATTGATTTTGCTCAGGGACCCGGATGTACTTGGTGGGTAATGCGGGAAGATGAGGAAGTCCAATGTGTACCTCAAGGGGATTCGATTTCAGGGGAAAACAGCCAATGAACTCAACTGTGTGCTGTTGCCTGCTATGTAGCACTTTCATGGCCCACCAGCTAGATGTCTTCAGGTCACCAGCGACTGGCCCTGACTTCCCTCCGACCATCATCCCAACAAAGAATGAACTTTGATAGAACCAGACAAGTTCTGCGGTGTCTTCAGCAGGCAACAATCCAACACTGCACAAAGCCTCTCTTGCTCTGAAAGACTGTTACAAGAGATGGAGCCCAACATCATGGACTGGATGAACTCAGCAGCTTCATAGGGTTTGGTCCATGCATTAAGGAATGATCTCTCTCTTTGTGTGTGCATGTATATAAGTGTATATATATAAATATATATATATAATGAGACAAAAGCAACGGTATATTGAAAAATGTGAGATCTGAGCATGATGTGGATGGTATGGAATAAGGGGTGGATACTGTCCTGGGTTCAGCAGTAGCAGTCATTTTTCTCCTTCTTAGTAGCTGGTGCAGTGCTCTGTTTTTGACTTTCAGCATGGGAACAGCACTGGTAACACCGATGTTTTTAGTTGCTGCTCAGTAATGTTTACTCTGACCAAAGACTTTGTGAGTCTCATGCTCTGCCAGGGAGGAGGGGAAGCTGGGAGGATGCAGAGACAGGACACCTGACCCAAGCTAGCCAAAGAGGTATTTCATACCACAGCACGTCATGCCCACTATATAAACTGGGGGCAGTTACCCAGAAGGGTGAGATCACTTGCTCGGGTCAGGCTGAGTATTGGTCGGCGGGTGGTGAGCGGTTATGATCTCTTCCCTTGTTATTTCCCTTATCATTATTATTACTGGTGGTAGCAGCAGTGATTTTTGTTATACCTTAGTTAACTGGCTTGTTTTTATGTCAACCCGTGGGAGTTACATTCTTTCCATTCTCCTCCCTATCCCTCCTGGAGTGGGGAGAGGAAGAAGGAGGTGGGGGAGTGAGAGAGTGGCTGCATGGTTCTGAGTTACTGGCTGGGCTTCAACCACGACACCTCCACACTAGAGAAGACTGGTGTTTCAAAGTTCTTTTCAGCCACATCTTAAACATGATCGATTTGCTGCACTTCCTATCCACCAGGCTGCTCTGGATCTGCTTCCTGCAGTGCCCACAGTATCAGGTCAGCAGTAGTGCTGTTTGACATGAAATCACCTCTCTAGATTGAATCCAATTCTGTTGGTCTCAAGGTGTGCTTATTCCCTACATGTTACAGGGTAGGCCTTTGCTACAGGGTAGATAGGGAAGGAGAATGAGGACAGAGGAAAACGGGATGTGCTAGCCCAGATCACTGTTACTCTCCCAGTACACAGCAGTTCTTGGTTCTCAGGCTTTTTTAGCAAAGCTGAGGTGAACATGAGCCCTTCTAAATGAATGGGGAGTAACTGGAAAAGTGTGCTTTTACATGAATAAGACAATTTCACTGTTTCACAATAGGTTTTTTCTGGATATTGCTAACAGTGTTCCTGTGTTGTTTACCTACATAATTAACCTCTTGTCCACTTCAGTTTTCCTTTTTTAAGCCTGCATCTGCTGCTGTTACACATGGCTAGCATTAATCTCATTAAAAAAGTTACGCTATTTAGAACTTGTCATTGACCTTTCATTTTCACATAGACTGTGGCTTGCAGGAATCTTTTCCCCTTATTACACTGTAATTCTTCTGCTTTGTGATGGCTGCACTGTTCCTTTCAACAGACCAGTTGAAAAGTTGTCTCTCATTTCTATGGGATACACTTTGCTTTAAGGGGTGCTTCAACCATCTTTCATTCTTTTTTGAGGATTACAGACAGTCTAGAGACAAGATTTTCCTGAACCTGTGTTTTCTGTTAAGAGGCAATTGCAAAGAAAACAAATACAAATCGTAAATGCACCTGGCACCATCCCACTCGTCTTATGTGAATCTTCCTCTCTTATCACTGGGACATTTCTATGGCTTATGTGAATGGACTACTTCCTGGAAAAAACTTACAGCTCCATCTACGGTAGAGTTTGAATTTACAATGGAAATTTACAGTAGGAATTGTAGAAAAAGGCCCGCTGGCAGAGGAAAAATGCACAAGCTGGGGGATACAAAAGAGGTTTTTATTATTACTATTTATTTGCTTTAAAAATAAGAAGGAGGTGCCAGTATTTCAAAATGGGTATCAACAGGCAATCTAGAAGTCAGCACACTATAACAAACGCACACGCTGTCAAAGTACAACAAATAAAAAGGCAGACACTATTTAGAGAAGTGAGTAGGTTACTGTGGAATATCTCTGTTAAGAACAAATGTAGTCCAAAAAGCAGCAGGAATTTTTATCTTTCTTGTTATACTACATACTGACAACTGTCAAAAGGAAAGTCTGGATTTCTGGGGAAACGGAGAAGGGAGAATATTTTGAAGAACATTATCAACCAAAATTCAAGATACAGTTGCTAGGAACCAGATTTTGATCTCATTATCGGAAATGTGAGTTAGCAATAAGAACTCTGGTTTAACTAATAAGTGACGGTGATATTAAATTTACTGCAGATTTTTGTGCCACCACTACTGAGATGACAAATTGACCGATTGTGTTAAAATCTTTAGAAATAAGAAAGGCCTCAGTCCTCTTCACAGTCACAGTAAGCGTCCTGCCCAGTCCCACTGTGCTAATTAAGGAAGAGAGCCCTTGTGATAAAATTTTCAAACAAGTTGTGTCAAATTGATCACAGACAACAGAGAATTTGTTCTCTAGGAAAGGAGTGCTTAGTTAGTTTTGCCAGCGTATACAACACAGGAACCTTCTTGTCTTCAAAGAAGAATAAATAACTTGCAACTATTTGATGGTTAGGCAAAACATGTCAGACTTTAATTACTTTCTGATTATCTAAAAGCTCTGTGCAGAGTGAATACTCAAGTAGTGAAGCCGGTATAGCCAGTGCAGAGGACTTCAGTAGGAAAACCTACACTTTAGATGATATAATCAATATTTCAAGATTTCCTCTGTACTTAAAATTTTCCTAAGAATACTCTTGCAGAGCCATTCTGCACATGTTCATTGCTATTCTAGTTCTTTTGTTTCTTTCAATGGCTAACAAAACAATTTGTCTATCTTCTCTGTATTACTGGTGTGAGCCTTAAGAAATTCCAGAATTATTCCAGCTCACATCAGAATAAACATACAGAAGGGAATCCTTAGCATCTGAAAATTTATGGCAAATAATTCAGCTGGCATCAACTGGTATTACTTAATGGAATGGATGAATTAAGGAATATGCCCATATACACATGATTCCCATAAACCGTTGGATCGTCAGACCTTACATTTCCTTATTTACTAGTATTAATACTTCGTATTAAATAACGTTACTATTTGTTCAGTCTTTTATTGTATTTAAATCTCAGTGTGTGTTATGGAAGTTCTCATTAAAAACACAGGTGTGAATTTCATCCTCAATAAAAGTATTTTAAGGTGACTGCTGTTTTAATTCCAAGGATTTAAATTAGAGGCACTGAATACAATTTTTAAAGGTGCCTAGATGGCTTAGGAATTTACCCCTCAACTTACAAACAAACAAAAAAAAAATAAATATTTGGACCTTTGGGGTGACACTTGTGTAGGCACTTTGAAATTTTACCTTAGGTCATTCTGGCTGAGATTCTGCTCACAGACTTGTTTGGTATTTGGTCTAGCGGAAAAGGTGTGTAGGACAAGAGTGAAAATACTGTCAAAAATACTCAAAAGCCAAAGAAAGACCAAAGTCAGGCTTACACCATCCTAATGAAACAAGACTGATATTTCCTGACCAGCTGAAATGGGGAGGGTGGAGTATTCAGAAAGTGGAAAATCAAAAAAGAAAGCTTTCCATGGCTGAGATTTGCTTCACAAAATGGTCGGTGCAGTAAACTGATAGAACATTTATGGTGTCAGCTCAGCAGCACCACCTTGTGTATGTGTACTCACTTTACTTCATGTATTACCTGTAAAGACCTAGCAATGTTTGCAGGCTTTAGTGCACATAATGCCATAGCAGTTTGTTATCCCTCGCATATAAAAAATGAAGCATATGCCATTCCTAGAGGAACTGATGTACTTCTTATAGCTAGTAACCTTTACGCGCACACAGGATTGATATGTGCATTTTTCATTCCATCTCCAGGACTGTATTAGTGATAGACTACCAACCACAGGGCTCAGTAAAGCTTTTCATGGGGGTAGAATGAGCATATCTGAAAAGTTCTGTAATACAGAATCACAGA